TAACAGCTAGCCTTTATATAGTGCAGTAACATTAGTAACACACCTCTTCACAGGAACATAGCGGAACAAAATATTGACAGTGCCAAAGAAAGAGTACAGGAGTTGGGACGTTGGTGAGGCCTCTTCCAAAGTACTGCATGCAGTTTTGGTCCCCCTGTTATAGGAAGGATATCACTAAACTGGAGAGGGTCCAGAAAAGATTTACCAGGATGTTGTCATGAATGGAGGGTTTGGGATATAAAAACAGACTGGAAAGGCTGGGGCTTTTTTCATGGAGCATAGGAGGTTGAGGGGTGACATTATAGAGGTTTATAAAATCATGAGGGGCACAGATAAGGCAAATAACAAGGGTCTTTTCCTTAGAGTGGGGGAGGTCAAAACCCAGGGGCATATCTTTTAGTGTGAGAGGAGAAAGAAAAAGGACACGGGGGCAACATTTTTTACACAGAGAGTGGTTCATGCATGGAATGAACTGCCAGATGAAGTGGTGGATGCAGGCACAATTACAACGCTTAACAGATATTTGGATAAATTCATGAATAGGAAAGGTTTGGGGGGACATAGGTCAAGGACAGGCAGATGGGACTAGTTTAGTTTGGGAACATGGTTAGCGTGGACTGGCAATTTTTTCAATACACTTGTGGGATGTGGGCATCACTGGCTGGCCAGAATTTCTTGCCCATCCTAGTTGCCCTTGAGAAGGTGGTGGTGAGCTCCCTTCTTGAACTGCTGCAGTCCTCCTGCTGTAGATTAACCCACTATGCCACTAGGGAAGGAATTCCAGGATTTTGTCCCAGTGACAGTGAAGGAACTGCGATATATTTCCAAGTCAGGATGGTGAGTGGCTTGGAAGGGAACTTGGAGGTGGTGCTGTTCCCATATGTCTGCTGCCCTTGTCCTTCTAGATGGAAGTGATCATGGGTTTGGAAGGTGCTGTCTGAGGGCCTTTGGTGAATTTCTGCAGTGCATCTTGTAGGCAGTACACACTGCTGCTGTTGAGCATCGGTGGTGGAGGGTGTGGATGCTTGTGGATGTGGTGCCAATCAAGCGGGCTGCTTTGTCCTGGATGATGCCAAGCTCCTTGAGTGTTGTCGGAGCTGCACTCATCCAGGCAAGTGGGGAGTATTCCATCAAACTCCTGACTTGTGCCTTGTAGATGGTGGACAGGCTTTGGGGAGTCAGGAGGTGAGTTACTCGCTGCAGTATTCCTAGCTTCTGGCCTGCTCTTGTAACCACTGTGTTTATGTGGTAAGTCCAGTTGAGTCTCTGGTCAATGATAACACCCAAGATGTTGATAGTGGGGGATTCAGTGATGGTAACACCATTGAATGTCAAGGGACAGTAGTTAGATTGTCTCTTATTGGTGATGGTCATAGTCTGGCATTTGTGTGGCACAAATGTCACTTGTCACTTGTCAGCCCAAGCCTGGATATTGTCCAGATCTTGTTGCATTTGAACATGGACTGCTTTGGTATCTGAGGAATCGTGAATGGTGCTGAACATTGTGCAATCATCGGTGAACATCCCCACTTCTGACGTTACGATGGACATTGATGAAGCAGCTGAAGATGGTTGGGCCAAGGATACTCCCCTGAGGAAATCCTGCAGTGATGTCCTGGAGCTGAGATGAGCGACATCTAACAACCACAATCATCTTCCTAAGTGTCAGGTATGACTCCAACTACCAGAGAGTTTGCCCCCAATACGTATTGATTCCAGTTTTGCTAGGGTTCCTTGATGCCACAGTCAGTCAAATGCAGCCTTGATGTTTGGGGCTGTCACTCTCACCTCACCTCTGGAATTCAGTTCTTTTGTCCATTTTTGAAACAAGGCTGTAATGAGGTCAGGAGCTGAGTGGCCCTGGCGGAACCCAAACTGGGCATCACTGAGCAGGTTATTGCTGAGCAGGTGCTGCTTGATAGCGCTGTTGATGACACCTTCTATCACTTCATTAACAATTGAATTTAGACCGATGGGGCGGCAATTGGCCGGGTTGGATTTGTCCTGCTTTTTGTGTGTAGGACATACTTGGGCAATTTTCCACATCGTCAGGTAGATACCAGTGTTATAACTGTACTGGAACAGCTTGGCTAGGGGAGCTTAAAATTCTGGTGCACAAGTCTTCAGTACTATTGCCAGAATGTTGTCAGGGCCCATAGCCTTTGTAGTATCCAGTGTCTCCAACCGTTTCTTGATACCACGTGGAGTGAATCGAATTGGCTGAAGACTGGTATCTGTAATGCTGGGGACCACTGGAGGAGGCCAAGATGGATCATCCACTTGGTATTTCTGGCTGAAGATTGCTGCAAATGCTTCAGCCTTATCTTATGCACTGATGTGCTGGGAGCTCTTCCATCATTGAGGATGGGGATATTTGTGGAGCCTCCTCCTTGGTTGGACTGAAGGATCTGTTTCCATGTTTGTCTGACTCTATGACTTCAATGAGACATTAGGCAGATGGCTCAATGCATAGTCAAAGACATTATTATTTAAGTAGACATGTAAAGGAAGACAGAGGAGAACTCCAGAGGTTTAGTGAGGAAATCTCAGAGCTTGAAACAGAGGCAATTGAAGGCATCATCTCCAATGGTGGAGCAATTAAAATTGGGGATGCTCAAGGGGCCAAAGTTCGATGAATTCAGGGACGTTGGAGGAGTTGGGAGAGGTTGGGAGGGCCAATAAAACGAGGCATTTGAACATAAGGTGGGATTTTGAAATTGTGTGCATAAATACATGTGATAAATACATAAAAGAAAAAGTTTTTGACAAACACTTTTGCAGAACAGGTTGTATCTCTCAACCTATCTTGTCTTGGCATGGATGTTTCAACATTAAACTACACCAAGGAGCATAACAGTGGCTCGTTTGTTCCTTAGCTCCTGATCAGCTCTCAATGCATCACATTGCATTACACAGGCAACCATTTGGGTAAATAGTCACTACTATTTTTGAAGACGGCCAAAGTATGCAGAGAATGATCTCATTGGACAGCAAGAGACAATTAACTGGTTTAACTTTTTGTTTTGCTTGTATATGTTGGCGAAGGGAAGAATGTTGATGATGATGTGAGGAGGTCTCCCTCCCTTTAGGGGTGACACGGTGACTCAGTGTTAACACTGCTGCCTCACAGCATTAGGGACCCAGTGACTGTCTATGTGGAGTTTGCACATTCTCCCTATGTCTGCGTCGGTTTCCTTCGTGTGCGCTCCTGTTTCCTCCCCCAGTCCAAAAATGTGCAGGTTAGGTGGACTGGCGATGCTACATTGCCCCGTGGTGTCCTGGGATGTGCAAGGCGAGAGGGATTAGCCATGGTAAATACAGGGTTACAGGAATAGGGTTGGGGGCTGGGCTGGGTGGGATGCTTTTTGGAGGGTCAGTGCAAACTTGATGGGTCGAACAGCCTCTATCTGCACTGTAGGGAATTTATGAGCCTTTTCTTGAACAGTGCAACAGGACCATAGTTGTCTGCACCAGTACCCAGACTAAACCAGGGGTTACAGGTTGATTCATTCCCCAGTACTGTAGGCAATGAAAATTTTCATCACTTTCACCATTGCACATGGCCAGCTCCTAACACTTTGTAGCTGCAGATGTAGCGGCAATGACCTTTGAAGAAAAATGGAAAGGAAATCTCATGCAATATGAAATGCACATCCCAAACCCCTGAACTTCATACCAAGGACAAGAGCAGCGAGAACACTTGATGACGATGATCACCACATTTCTCTCTAAGTCATCCAAATCACGATCTTGATTTTATTTTTGCACTCATTCTTGGGCTATGAGTATCATTGGCTAGACCAGGGTGTATTGCCCATCCTTATTTATCCTGGAGAAACTGCTTGTGAGCTTCCTTCCTAGAACTGTCGCAGTCCTTGAGGTGCAGGAACACCCACAATGCTACTGTCGCCCCTTCATTGTCACTTAGTTTAAGACCATGAAACATAGGAAGTAGTCCATTCAGCCCATCAAGTCTGCACCAAGAGATCATGCTTAATCTGATAATTCTCAACTGCACTTTCTTGCCTTTCCCTAGATTCCTTGATTTCCCTTATTGATTAAAAGTCTATCTCAGTCTTGAATCTACTTAATGACCCAGCCTCAACAGCCCTCTGCAGTAAAGAATTCCATAGATTCACTGCCCTCAGAGAGAAGAAATTCTTCTTCGCCTGTCTTAAATGTGCAATCGCTTATTCCAAGTTTGTGTTCTCTAATTGCTAGATTCTCCCACAAAAGGAAATAACTGACCCTTTGCATCTGCTTTGTCAATCCCTCTAAGAATCTTGTATGTTTCAATTAAGTAAGACCCTGGAAGCTGAGAAACACTCTCAATATGTGGGTGCTGCAGTTCAACAAAGTAGCTCTTTGTTATTATTTCTGATCAATCTGTTCAAAATATAGTATTAGTACACACCTCTGTAGCAAGTGGCATATGAACCCAAGGTCTCCTGACTCAGAGATAGGGACACTGTCACTGTATCAACAGAACCCACCAACTCCTTCTTAAAGGGAACTGGAGACGTGCAACAAATTATGGTCTTATTAGTGACATCGACAAAACTGAGAATGAATGAAAACAAAACAACTTACATGCAAACATACGCAAATGAAAAGCAGACCAGAAGTGAAATCGTGTAATTCTAAAGCGTTTTTCGAAATCTCGTGATGTCCCAAAGTACTTGGTAACCAACTGATTACTTCTGAGGTGCAGTCACCCTTGCAATGTAAGAAATGCGTCAGGCAATTTGCGCAGCAAACTCCTATAAAGAGCGATGAGCACATTATTAGAGACTGGCTGAAGGATGAAAAAGTGGGCCATTAAAACGCAATGGTTTATTTTCAACCCGCAACTAAAAATGACTTGGTTTCGTAGTCCAGCCAGCAAAGAGTTAAAAAGTGTCTAATTTGGATGGGCAACCAACAATCCATCTCTGGCTCATCCCCCTTTCCATTTGTTGGATTTCACTTTGCGTCACATTCGCCTCCAGCCTGGAGCAGTCGAAAGAAGAACGGGTCTAGGAATCAATGCCCCTTTCAATGTGTTGGAGACATCGACCCCCAGCCCCAGAGCCCCAGCAGGACTCATAACCCATCGCCTTCTTATGGCCCCTTTCTCTCCGCTGCCCACTCAAAGCTCAGTACATACAAAAACCAAGCGCTGGGCCTCTTAAGAAAGCTAAATTAGCCCAGTTTGCATCTGAAGGGTTTATTTTTGAGACAGATCGACTGCATAGGCAGTTGATGTCTCTCCGGCTCCCTGCCTTCTGCTTGTAAGTTTGCAGAAATCCCACAGACATGTTGACCAGAAGGTAAAAAAAATCGCAAATCCGGCTCTATTTTGTTTTTATTTTTAATAATAACACCGGAGAAACAGATCCGTATGTGGGACTCGAACTGGATTCTTGAGGGGGTCTCCGGTGTCTTGTACTTGGGGGAGAGAGAGGGAGAGAGAACCTTGCCTGAAAGGAGAGCGTTCAATGACTGATTTTGCAAGAGTTTTTTCCCTCTCGCCCCCAGTGTCTCTCTCCCTCTCTCTCTCCCTCTTTCCCTGGATGAATCCGAACAGTGATGCAGCCAGGGACTTACAGTCCAAATTAATCCAGCACAACATGGCAGATCGACACCGTGTTTAGCAAGGAGAGGAGCAACTGGCTTTGTATTCTGCCATGCATAGCACACAGTACTGCACCGATGGCCCCGATGTACCAAGGTAAGACTTGAAATTAACACACACTCTTTTCCCACCCCCTCTCCCTTTTATGATCCTGTCAATGAAACCAGCTGGGAGGTTGAGGATGGGATGGTACGTTGTGGGGGCTGAGGTAAAAGAGGGGTTCATTGTGAGGGAAGGGGGGGTGTCGGTGGTGGTGTAGGGAGAGAAGTGGTCATTTTCACATACTGCCCCTGTCTGCGTGCGGAAATCAAAGGGAGACTTTCATTGGGTTCATGTGAAACAAACCTTCTTATTGTTCAGGAGAGAAGGCTGGGGCTGGGGGGGGAGTCTACACTCTGGCAGCTAAGACATCCACCCCCCGGGTCTGGATCCCCACTCCAGTGGATTTGTAACAACGATAAAATAATTTTTAAAAATACAAAATCAGCAATGTCAGCTCCCCACTAGCCTCCCCGACTCCCCCCTTGCTCGCCCCCTCCCCAATTCCCCCGTTTTATTTCGGTGAATGTGTGTTTTACGCGAACCCACTCCTGGGTTCTAATGTATCAAGACAAGGGGAGCCAGAGGAAATCGCTGAAATGATTAATTTCTCAGATCTGCGGAAAACCAACTGAGGAAACTTTGCGTGGTTATGAAAGTCCCATTGATTCACGGGGCGAACAGTTGGAAGGATTTCCTGGTGATAGCGGGGCTTGGATTAAAGACTGGGAGACAAAGGAATGCTTTAAAGGTGGCTCCTGGAAGAAAAAAGCAACTCTGCAACAAATTTCTGCTTTGTTGTTTTTTTTTCCCTTTGTAATACAAAGCCCTTTTCAGTTTCGTCCCCAGCAACAAAAATAAAAATCAACTCTGCTTTTAAGTTCTTGTGTGGTGGGGGGGAATGAAGCACCCAGTGTGTTGAAAGCGAATTTCCTAGCACTGAGAAAGGGCACGATCAGTATAAGAGAAACTATCTAGGTTCTGAAATTATTGTTTCCCTTCTCTGAAACCTTCACCTGCTGCCCTCTGTCGGCCGAATGCACCGTGCTGACGCTCTCACTGTTGAGCTATCTGACCACTGGACTCTTTATTTCGACATGGGGCGGGGTGGGTTGCCTTTTTTATTCGGTGCTTTCCTGGTGATTTATTACTGCAGTTGTCCTCACGTATTGCTCGAAGTCTTTCCACATTCCAGCAGGACGCTGTGCATTTGCAAACAGTTGTCCCGTTGCAGACCCAGTGGTGGTGCACGCTATTCGGTGCTTGCCTCTGGCTCAGAATGTTTGAAGGAAACTACAGTATGATCACTGCGGAGATGACCAGAGAGAGAGAGAAAATAAAGCCTCCCTTAGTCTGAACCGTTCAGCTTACGAATTTGATTGACGATTGCATTTGGGAGTATTGTGTATTCACTCGAATGGCACACTTATTTCATGCCCCTGATTACTGGTGTGTAGACGGGACACAGATTTCACCACCTCAACTCTGTCTGGAAAATACTGGTGTAGGATTTTCACATTTAAGGATGGAAAAAGGAGGAGCGGAGCTTATGCCCCACAAAGAACTTGGGAGTAGGCAAAAAGAAACACAAAGCTAGCAGGAAAAATCCCTTGCATTTCCCTACAAATGAATTAATCTCCGTCAGCAGGGAGTTGTGCAAAGCTCCAACTCTCACCAATGCTCCTAGTGAGAGTTTTTCCAAACTTTTCTCCAGGGGGACTCACTGCAAATGTGGGTACAGGACGCTTTGTGGATGTTACCATGCTCACCTCAGTAGACGTTTCCGTGCACGTGGGGTTACCTCTCAGGAAATATTAAGACCTTCACAGATGCTGCCATTTGTAAATATTAATATGATCACTGGGATGTGCTTATATAAATATTAATATATGGACAGGGACCCACTGTAAATATTAACACGCATAAAGGAATCCTCTATAAGTACTGCCACACTGAGACCCTCTGTAAATACTATCAGGCTTATAGAATCCCTGAAATATTACATTCACACAACATGTAAATATTTCAGGGTCTATCTGAAAATTCCATTCTCTTATTGGGACCATCTGTAAATGGAAATGTGCTCAAATGCGCTGTACATTGTAAATATTAACCTGCTGCCTGCACTCATTTGTAAAGATTAATGGCACAAGGACCCTTCTGTAAATATTTACAAATTTCACAGGGAATCTTAATACTAAGATAGAGTTGTGCAGCATGGAAACAGACTCTTTGGTCCAATCCATCCATGCCAACCAAACATCCCAATCTGACCTAGTCCTATTGCCAGCATTTGGCCCTTATCCCTGTAAACTCTTCCTATTCATATACCCATCCAGATGCCTTTTAAATGTTGTAATTGCCCCAGTCTCTATCACTTCCTCTGGTAGCTCATTCCATGTATGCACTGTCCCCTGCGTGAAAAAGTTGACCCTCAGGCCCTTTTTAAATCTTTCCCCTCTCACTTTAAACCAATGCTCTCTAGTTTTGAACTTACCTATCCTAGGAAAAAGACCTTGGATATCCATGCCCTTCATGATTTTATAAACCTCTATAAGGTCACCCCTCAGCTTCTGGTGCTCCAGGGAAAAAAGCCCTAGCCTAATCGGCCTTTCTCTATAACTCAAATCCTCCAGTCCTGGCAATATTCTCGTAAATCTTTTCTGTACCCTTTCAAGTTTAACGCGTCTTTCCTATAGCAGAATGGTCTTGCTTAAAGATATTCTCCACTGTGAAACATGAACATCCTCACAGGTTCTCTCAATATATTACCAACCTCATAGGGGCTCTGTGTAAATACAAACACCCTCACAGGGTCCTCGTGTAAATATAAACATCCCCACGGGGCCCTATGTAATTATGAACAATGTCATGGGACCTTGTGTAATTATAAACACCCTCACAGGGGTCTTGTGTAAATATAAACACTCCCACGGGGGCCCTGAATAAATACAATCACCTTCACAGGGGTCCCCCTGTAAATATAAATACCCTCACAGGGGTACCTTGTAAATATAAACACCATCGCAGGGATCCTCAGGTAGTTACAAACACCCCCACGGGGTCTTTTATAAATATAAACACCCTTATATGAACCTTATAGGAGTAAATATGAGCACCTCACAGCAAACCATCTGTAAATATTAATGTGCCTGTACGACCCCTCTGTGAATATCAACACTGTCAAAGAAACCTCTTTAAATAGTGGCATGCCCAAATGCATCCTTCTCTGTAAATATTAATCTACCTGCAGTGACAATCTGTAGTAACACACTCACAGGGACCTTCTGTACATATTAACTCATGGGGGATACATTCTACTGTAAATATTAACAGTTCAACTGTACATAATGACTTTTATGACCAGAAAAATTTCCAAAAAGCATTGCAGCCAATGAATTGCTTTTGAAGTGTAGTCCCACATGTAATTAGAGCAAGTCCAGAGCCAACTTGGGCCCAGTAAGTTCCCACAAACAGCAATGAAAATAAATGTCTTGCTCAGCTCAGTTTTCATGTTAGGTGAGAGGTAAATATTGGCCCAGTCTTTTTGAATAAGATCTTTTACATCCACCTGAGATTAGTTCTGCATCTCTTCTGAAAGACAGTGACAGTGCAGTACTCCCTCAGATGTTTTTTTCAAAAAAGCAATTGATAGTGGTTACATGGTCTGCCACGATGGGATTTGACCTTTGACTCCAGGATATTAGCCTGGGGTTCTGGATTACTACAGTGACATCACCACCAACCCATCTGTAAATTAGCACCCTCGGGTGAGAAAGCTATGGCTGTTTCAGATTATGAAAATCTGAATTGAAAAACATAAAGTTGTTGGAAATATTCAACAAGCCTGGCAGCATCTATGGGAGAAAAACTGAATTAACACTTCGAGGTCGATGACCTTTTGTGGGGAAGATGCAGAATGCAGGAGTGTGATACCAATCATACTGAGGGGAAAGATGAGGAAAATGTGCTGAATTCCTGAATGCACAGAAGTTTCCAGGGATTTAATAAGAGGATGCAGAATAGTTCATGCTATCAGCAGAGCAGTTCTCACTGCCTCTTGCCTCAGTTTACTTGGTGGAATTGACTTGCACTTTGTGTTGGACAGGCTCCAATGTAGCACAAGGAGAGAAACCAAACTCTGCTCTGTTTATTACAATGAGTTCCAAATGCTGCGATGGTCCTCCGTATAATACCAGTCCTTGAAACCGCTCCATGTACGCTTCCTAATCCCAATGGAACCCATTGTTGCTCAGGTTGGCACAGCGTTTAGTTAAAATCTCACCATTTTGAAAAAGAAGGCTCAGTGGTAAGCATTGCTGCCTTGCAGCGCTAGGGACCTGGGTTTGATTCCAATCTTGGGTGACTGTCGGTGTGGAGTTTGCACGTTCTCCCCGTGTCTGCGTGGGTTTCCTCCGGGTGCTCTGGTTTCCTCCCGCAGTCTAAAGGTGTGCAGATTAGGTGGATTATCCATGCTAAATGGTCCCATAGTGTCCAGGGATTGCAGCTAGATGGATTAACCATGATAATTGTGGGGTTATGGGGATAAGGGTGAGCGCAGAGTCTCAGTAGGATATTGTTTGGAGGATCGATGTGGATTCAATGGGCTGAATGGCTTCTTTCCACACTGTAGGGATTCTATGAACTTCTGTTTGTACAGCTTCTTTCACAATCTCAGAAAATGCTGAAGTCCTTTACATTAAATGAAGTATTTTAACATTATAGAAATTGTTGTGTGGTATGAAACATGGCAGTCAATTTTAGCATCATGAAGTTTTACAAGCAGCAACGTAATAATGATCAGATAGTCTGCTGTAGTGTGGTTGGTTAAGTGATAAATATTGGCCAAGTAATGTTGGCACAAACTCTGACTTCAAAAGGAAGAAGTGGGCAGAGGCTGTGTGTCAAACCCGGGGTCTTCCTGTGCCATACACCTAAGAGCAACCTAGTCATTCACGAGATCTTGCAGGGATGTCAGTGCCATAGAAGTCATGTTACTATAATGCTGATCTCCTTCAGGATAAGTTGTCAAGACAGGGTCAAGGGGACTTCACTCT